AACCACCCAGGCATCCCAGATTCTTCAGGTTCTTAAATGAGATGCTTGCCGGGGGGTAGGGGGCAGGGAGGGCAGGGAGGGTTGGCCTTTGGTTGGGAAGCCCCTCTGTCCTCACCTGCCTGGCCCTGTCCTGTCCCCCACCCCTCAGTGCCTCCTTCTGGCCCTCCCCCTCCTCCCTCACCTTCTGAGTCATTTCAGAATGCTTTCTCTGAATTTCTCTTTGTTTTTCACCTTGCCTTTGCTCCCTCTACCTACTCATGCCTGCTTGGTCCCCTTGTCTCTGTGTCCCTTTCTTGGTCTCCCCCTCAGTCTCCCCCTCAGCCTTCCCTTCCCTCCCTGCCTCTCTGTGGCTCTGAGTCCCTGCCTTCCTCTCTCCACCTGTCTGCCTTCCCTCCTCTGGTCTGTCCCCTCTTCTACATCGGCCAAGGTCTGTCTGTCTCCCCCTTCCCCCCCAAGACCTGGAAGCGGCCGCCCACTCTCTGGCAAGCCCCGCCCCCCCGGTCCTCAGTGACCGATTTTCTCTCTCCCGCCGATTTTCTCTCTCCCGCCGTTGGAAAGTAGCTCAGGCCCTAACCCATTTCCTGGGGCGCATCCAGATTAATTAGGTGAGATGGGGATCGCACGTTGCAGAACCGGAATAATATTTATCAAGCACCCTGGGGAGAAGGGGATGGAAGATGAAGAGGAGAGAGGAATGGGAGCAAGGAGGGAGGTCATGAGCTGAGGGGCTGAGGGAAAGGGGGTGTGAGGGGGGCTGCCAGAGGGTGCCACTCCCAAGGATGCCACCTGGGAATTCGGGCCACCTCTCCAGTCGCCAGGGAAGGGGGGACTGGGAGCGTGTCCCTGGCTACCGTGCTCTTCCTGAGGACCACACAGGGCAGCCCCCCCTACCCCCCCAGATGGCCTCTGTCTTCAAGAACGCCTCTAGCGCATCCCAACCCCACTTGGCTGTGCTGCTCAGCTCAGCCCATCCAAGTGGGCATCTGGAAAGGATACGGGGCAGATTGCCATCCTCAGGAGGCAATCGCTATACCTGATTAAAACTCCTTGTCCAGCCACAGGCCAGACCGAAGCACACTAGTATCTCCCCAGCCTGATGGTCTTCAGAAAAGCATCTTCTCTCCACCCCTGAGTCTCCAGAGCCCATGTCCGTCAGAGCTTCTCAGGGGATGGGCATCAAGAGTGCCCCCATCCTGCAAGAGGGGAACTCTGTTCTAGAATGTCTGCTACATTCTCCTTGGCTTGCAAACCGAGGGGCTGATCTCCCCTGAAATTGTCATGTACACTGTTGGTGTGGACCATGGGGATAGGTGCTGAAACCCTACAAAAGTGGGAACAGGGCTGGTCTTCACTCCGCCCTGTGCTTATGTAACATGGATGGGCTGTGTGCCAAGGCCTCAGGGTACAGTGAGGGCCCCAGCAGATAGGCCCACTCCTTGGAGACCTTCCTTTTGGCATCTCTGACTTCACTGTGCCCCAGAGCCCAGCCCCGTGTCTGATCCTGGTACGAGCTGCTCAGTAGACCTCTGTAGAGTTGATCACATTGAACCTTAATCAAGGACTGGCTTCACCTCGTGGTGCACACAGGTATCTCAAGGTTTCTTAACCTCACCACTGGTGGGCCAGGTAATTTTTGGTTGTGGGGGGCTGGCCTGTGTATTGTGGGATGTTTAGTAGCACCCTTGGCTCACCAGAAGCCAGGAGCGCTTCCCTCCTCAGCTGTGACTGCCAAAAATGTCTCTGGATTTTGCCAAATCCCCCCATTCCTTCGTGAGCAAAATCACCGTGGAGAAGCGCAGATGGAAACTCAGTCTCCCCAAAGCACTAGACTTAACCTCAAGACCCCTTCCTCCGTTACAGGCAGCAGAGAGTCTTTATAAAAACTCAAGAGGCAAGAAACAGAAAAATAATATATATTCTTTTTTTTTTTGTAATTGGAGTTTTATTGAAATATATTTCACCTACCGTAAAATTTCATCCTTAAATTTTAGAGTGTACAATTCGATGCTTTTGGTACATTCCCCAGGTTGTCTAGCTATCCTTTGAGAACATATTCATCTCCCTGAGAAGAAACCCTGTATCTATTAGCAAACACTCTTGACTTTCCCCTCTCCCAGCCCCTGCTCATCACAAGTCTACTTTGTCTCCATGGATTTGCCTAATCTCGACATTTTCTGTAAATAGAATTCTATAACATGTGGTCTCTGGTGACTGGCTTCTTTCACTTAATGTGATGTTTTTAAGGCATCTGTCGGTACTGCATTGCCTTTTAAGGCTGAATAAATAACGTGTTGTGTGAGTATTCCACATTTTGTTTATCCGCTCATCAGTCCGTCCATGGACATTGGGCTGTTCCCACCTTCTGGCGATTATTGGTCATGCTGCTAGGAACCTTCATGAATAGGTTTCGTGTAGACATGTCCTTTCATTTCTGTTGGGTCTATACCTAGGAGTAGAATTGCTGGTCTGTAGAGTGACTCTATGTTTGACCTTTTGAAGGACCACCCAACTGTTCATCAGTAGTGCATGGGAGGCTTCCATTTCTCCACCAGCACCATTTTACATTCCGACCAGCAGTAAATGAAGGCTCCCATATCTCCATCATCTTACCAACTTTTGGTATTTTCCGACTTCCTGGTGATATCTCTACTGGCGGGTGCGAACGGGTGCCTCATTGTGGTTTTGATTTGCAGTTCCCTGATGACTCATGCTGCTGAGCTGCTTTTCACATGCACCTTCTTTGGAGAAGAAATATCTTCTCTGTCCTTAGTCCGTTTGAAATTGGGCTGTTTGTTGTCTTTTATTGTTGAGTTGTAAGAGTTCTTTATATATTCTGGGTATAAGTCGTCTCTCAGACATCTGATTTACAAACATTTTCTCCAATTTTCTTGGTGGTTGTGTTGCATTTTCCCAATGGTACCCTGTGATGCAGACAAGTTTTTAATTTTGGCCAAGTCCAGTATTTCCACTTTCTTCTTTGCTTGCTCATGTTTTTGGTGTCACATGTATGAAACCTGAGGCCAAACCTGAGGTCACAAAGATTTACTTCTATATTTTCTTCTAAGAGTTTATAGGTTCAGCTCTAATATGATCTACTTTGAGTTAATATTTGCATATGGTGTGAATTTTCGGTCTGACTTCATTCTTTTGCACGTGGCTAGCCACTTGTCCCAGTACCATTTGTAGGGGAAACGGCTCTTTCCCCATTGAGTGATCTTGGCACCCTTGTTGAAAATCAATTGGCCATAGATGTACAAGTTTATTTCTGGGCTCTCAATTCTATTCCATTGGCCTATATTTCTGTTATAACTTTTAAGCTCCCTGTTTTCTTACCATGGGAACATGGTAGGAAAGTGTCTTTGATAACCAGAGGAACGAAGAACTCAAGACAACTTGCATGGATATGTGGTGAAGGAAATATAGGAAATATTTATAACATTTTGGAATGAGAACAGATCTAATTAGGAGGGTCATGTTAGTTTAAACCCTTTGTTTTGCTGTTGGGGGAGAAAAGATTGAATTTGGATTTTAGAGAGTAGCAGATCTGCCCAAAGTTTAACAGCTCATTTGGGATTAGAACCCAAATCTCTTGACCTTTTCGGGTGGTGCATGCTTCTCATGCACACATTCTGAATCTCAGGTCCCTGACCCGGATCCTGGGTCTGCCTGAACCTCCTTCACCAACCTCCTGAGCTTCTGTGTTCCCCTCCCTGCTCGGTATACCCCAATGAACAGGGTGGGGGTGCTGACATGTGTCTGTTCCTCCTGTTAAAGCCTGAGAGAAGAGACACCAGCCAGGGGAAAGCGTTTGGAACATCTGAAATTGCTATATAAATGCCAGTAAATGATAAGATTGCCAGGTTGATGCTCTTCTCCTCGGAAGGTTCAGCATGTCAGAGGCAGCATAATGGAAGGCAACAATTTACTCTCAGACATGCTTTTAAACAGCTGTGGTTGTTGCTTTGCAAGGGGGCAGAGTGTTGAGTGCTGGAGTCCTGGGGTGAATGAAGCGGGGGGGTGGGCTGAGCTGGCTGGGGGAGGCCTGGAGGCGGCTGGGGCCTTGCCTGCATCTCAGGGACACCCCAAGTAGATGGAAGAGTCCCTTCCCTGCTTGCACAAGACAGGGATGCACCCAGAAGTAGGGACCTGGCCCTGAGATGGCCTTCCTTCTCTGGATGGTGGTCTCGTGTAGCTTGTCCACACTCACCTTGGCTGCCTCAGACTGTCCCTACTTGTCTCTGTTTCCCATCAACAGTGGTCACCCCCACCAGGTCACGGCATCTCCCACAGAGCGATTCCTGTTTGAAACCAGGTGGGGGAGCGATTTTTGCCTAAATTGTAAGCTCTCAAGTGATGAGAACTGTGTTTGTGTATTTTCCTCTCTGTGTTTGTAATCGTTGCCTCCTCTCAGCTCCGGTAATGGTCACGGTCCTCGCCCTCCACATGGTCATGTAGTTACTGTGGTATCTCCACGTCCTGTCTTTGTAGTTCCATTGCGCCTTCCTCTGATGGCGGGAGCTGTGTGTTGGGTCCCCAGTACACAGGATGGGCCACCTGGTGGGTGTTTTTCAAAGGGGGTGATTGTCCCTGTGTTATTAGTCACCTGCTGCTGGAGGCAAGGCTACCGATGCCAGCCCTTCGCTGTGGGGGCATGGTGCTATCCAGCTGTGCACATATCTGCCCGGTGTAGGGGGGTGTTTGGGTAGCCACTATTTTGAAAGAGTTCATGTGAAATAAATTGAAGACAGAAACCATAATCACCACCCTTTAGTGCTTGTACCCCCAGAGATGGCAACCTCTACTCTGCATCCCACCACCCCTCCACACCCCCTCCCAGGACCAGCACCAGATGAAGCTGTGGCTACTGAGAACAGAATGTTGTGTCTGCATCTCCTCTTCTGGCTCTGTACATCAAAAGACCCACGAAAGTAAGCCAACTCTCTCTGTGGTTGTGTACACCTGCTCTGTGAATCTCACTGTGTGATCTCTTCTTTGTTTAGGGCTCTGGCTGACATCTTAAGACAACAGGGACCAATCCCCATAGCACACTGTGAAAGAGAAACTATCTCGGCTATCAATACCTCTCCCAAAGAGAACACACCGGTCAGATCGTCCTCCAAAAACCACTACACCCCTGTGCGTACGGCCAAGCAGACTCCAGGTAGGTGAGCGCCGATCAGCTTGCGTCTTTGTTGGGGCGTGGGGGCCGGTGAGAGGTTTTGGTGATATTTTGCTCTGGTGGGCCAGGGGGGCGCTGCATTGTGCCGTGGGAAGACTTGAGTGGGCAGGTGGGCATGTGGACGAGTCTGAGGACTGGTCTCCTGGGGGAGGGCCTGACATCAGAGGGACCGTGCCATTAACTGTCTTGGCTGGAGGAGAGCTGACGATTCAGGGCATCTTGATTCGTGGTTGAGTGAGTGGCTGGCATACTGTCTTACCTGAAAGGAAGCTGGTGGCGGGGGTTGTGGAGTGTCATCACCCGGTTGTCCATGTGGTGGGGGGAAGGGTTAATTTGCCCAGGACGCCAGCTATGTGATGAAAAATTGCTGCTGTCACTTGTAGAGATTCCAGCTTTTGGGATCTCAGGACGTACTTCCCAAGGGTAGGGATTATATCTGTATTATAGAGTGACCTTGGCCTGTGCTCTGTAGATCCCCCGGGTAGGATGATGAGTGCCTGGGTTCTAGCGGTCATCAGGATGACCTCATGAAAGAAACTAAGCAGGGTGTCTTTTTCTTACCGTATGGATCAATAAATGAAGTCCAGTGAAATTTAGTGACTTGGGCAAAAATCAGTAAGATGTTAATAAGAACATTAGCGATATAGTAATATAACTCATGTTTATTTGGGTCTTGCTCCAAGGGACATGCCGAACATTTCACGTGTATTTCCTTACTTATTCTTCACAGCAGTTTTAAAAGTACTTCTGTTGTCCCCATTTCATAAGAGGAACAGAGGTTCTATAATATTCCCAAGGACACGTAAGAAGAAAAGACAGCCAGAATCCAGACCAAGAGGTAGAGGTTCCAACAGTCAGTACTAGAAAACTCTAACATCCTAACCCAGTTGGGAACACGAATCCAAAGGAGCTGAGTGGACAATTTCCTTACAAGCACAGCTGGGCAAGTCATTTTCTATGGTGAGCATGACCAGACTGCCTAGTACTGACCCCAGTCCCTTGGCACGACTTCCACTTTGATACTAGGATCTGAAATCTTGACATCCATCACCCTAACGCTATTCGGAGGATGGGCTCTGGAGTCTGAACTTTACCTGCAGTGAGGATGTGCAGTTGCTTGGTGCCAGGAGGGGTGTCGCAGATTCAAAAGTGTAGTGAATGCGCTGCTGAGATCAAATTTCTTTTCCATTCATTCTTGAACTTGCTCCAATTTATTAAATCAGAAACTGCATACTTGCCCGTAAGGTAATCCTAATTAAACCTTTTGAGGATCTGATAGAGGTTAAGGGCATTCTTCTTCAAAAATATGCACATATATATAAATATATGGATTTGCCCGACACGTTAAATATGATTTCGGAATTCATGGACCCTTCCAAAGTTAGAAATCCCTGATTTAAAAGTAAAGACGAGAGATCTATCCTTGCAAAAAGTCTAGCTTTTAGCTTTGCTATCATAGATGCTTAAAATGTAAGCAATGGAAGGAATCTTGGCAAAAACATCTGGACCGGTAGTCATCTATTTCGCTGTACATCTAGATCACCTAGGAGTTCTTAAATATGCTGATGCCTAGGCCCTACAAATTAACCTGAATTTCCAGGGATGCTGCTAGCATCTTTACTTTTGAAAATCTTCCCAAGGTGATTCAAACACTCAGGGTGAAGATGATTCAAAGACTCAGGGTGAAGAACCATTGGTCCAGATAGATTCTTCATTTTATGAGTAAGGATACTGAAAGGCAGTGCCAGTGGTTCTCAAACACTGGAATCAACCAGGGAGCCTTAAAAATGAGGGATACCTCGGTCTCAACCCCAGAAATTGTGATTTAATGGATGTGAGAATGTAACCTGAGCATAGGGCGGGGAGGTGGGTGTTGCAATCTTCCCAGGTGATTCTGTTGTGGCGCAAAGTTTGAGAATCGCTGGTTGGTGTGAAATCGCATAAAGGTACCATTCTAACTAATCCTTATTTTCATCCATCACCGTTTATTCTAACCTTGGTATTATGACGAGGTTTGAGGAGGGTATTTTTGTTTTCCTGAAAACTCAATGGTGTGAAGTCAGATTTCTCTGGGACCTTGACTGTGATCCTGGAACTTGAGGTCAACCTGGTATCCATAGCACCCCTGAGGGTGTACCCTGCCCCACCCTGCTCTGATTTTTCTTTGTCTCATTCACCAGCCTGCTTGTTCCCAGCCGCCGAGTCCAGACTGATTAAGTAGATGGTCCTGATTTGCTCTTAAAATGCATTTCTGGGCAGAAAGATTTGTCATTTCTTCTGGTTTCTGTGTACATCCTCTCCTGGTAATCTGAGAAGGAAAGCTTCTAGTTCCGTAATTCATCCTGTGTTTGTCCAATTGGAACCCTTCACTTTGCCTTTCGAGATGGGCATTGTTTCCCTGGTCCAGAGAGCGCTCTCGATCGAGGTGACACTTGAAAGTAATTTCATAACCCTCAAACGCCTACAGCTTATAATGCACACAATGCCTTTTTCAAGTAGCTACTCATAGCCTTTGCCACAAAATATTGCAACTGGAGCAGAAGTTTAAGCAGAACTTTGCCCTAAATGTCCAGAGGGGAGGTTTACTATGATTTTTTGTTTGTCTCCCATCTAATCAACAACCCACTGATGGGAGGAGTATGGTGATAGAAATAGGAGGAGGCATCATAGCATGAGTAGTTCTGCTACTCCAAGTGAGGTCCGTGGACTGGCAGTATCAACACTGCCAGGGAAGGTTTGTGAGAGATGAGGTATCGCAGGCTCCAGGTCACCTGCCAAAAGAGAACCTACATTTTGCTGAAATCACTTAGCAGATGACATTTGAGAAGCGCTGGAAAAGCCTGGGCTCTGAAGTACATCCCCCTGTTGGCTTTCTGGCCCTGTGACCCTACTATGCATGTGACCTTGGCCAGCCACCCGGACTGAGTTTCCTTCCCTGCCCTTGAGGCTAGTAGGACCTGCTGCCCCGAGTGGTTTTCGGGATATACTGAGTTAAACCAACTAGAATTCTTAAGACCGGTCCTGACTCATAGCACACACTCAGAATGAGCTGTGGCCGGGCTGGAGGAAATATATACACAACTCATGGCAAATTAGTGGGGAAAAAAAAGGATAGAAAACAAAGACATTGGTGTTCTTAGACCAGGCAGGGTCCATGGGGTTGTATCTGAGATGAAAGCCCCTGCACCCACGCCTTCCTGTGCTCAGCCCCTGCCCACAAGTGCCTCTTCTGAGGATGAAAGTGGCTTTGTAGGGCTTTGTAGGGCTCTCTCCAGTTTCTGGATGCCAAAAGAACATGCCTGGTTAGGTTAGGAAATGGAGTAAGTCCTGTCTTAATAATACAAACAACGAGGGCATGAGTAGCAAACGCACCATTTATTAGCACCTACTGTGCACTGGGTGCTCTGTCAAAGATTTTATTTAAGTTTTTAAAAATATTTTTATTTTAAATATTTTACTTTATAATTTTTTTTGAAGATTTTATTTATTTATGAGAGACCTATTGAAAGAGGCAGAGACACGGGAAGAGGGAGGAGCAGGGTCCCTGCGGGGAGCCCGATGTGGGACTCGATCCCAGGACCCTGGGATCACGCCTTGAGCCAAAGGCAGACGCTCAACTGCTGAGCCACCTGGGTGCCCCTGAATCTTTTTATTTTTAAGCAATCTCTGCACCCAGTGTGGGGCTTGAAAAATCCTGAGGTCAAGACTTGCATGTTCTACTGACCGAGCCAGCCAGGTGCCTGTGAATTTTTATTTTAATTCTAGTAAACACTTTATAATAGATGGTGGATCCTGTAATTTTTCCTAGGCACAAGAGCTCCTATCCCCACGTTAGAAAAGTCCTCTTTCTTTCTGGAAGAGCCTTCCAGTGAACTCTTCCAGAGGTCCCTTCCCAACTTTAAAGGGAGATTCGTAATGGATGTTTGGTCTGGGTGTAGAACATCAGGGAAGTTCATTTTCATCCCTCACCGCCCAAATCTGGTAGCCCCCAGACCCTCGCCATGGCCGGTGTGGTCCACGCACCAGCCGTGACTTCATCCCCACCTGGAGTTGGTTAGAACTACTGAATCCAAATCTGCATTTTAACAAGACCCTCAGATGATGCGTAAGCACATCAAGGGTTGGAGAAGATCCCTTTAGCATGGTGAGCCTCGGCCCTGGACGCACCATGGGGTCATGTGCATGGTTCTGAAAGTACTGATGCCTGGCCCACACCCCCTGCAAAGATTCTGCATTAATAGTTCTGGAGTGGCATCTGGATATTGGTGTTTTTAAAGAGCTTCCCATGTGGGTCTCGTGTTCAGCAAATGCTGAGAACTGGAGCTGAGAGGGGGACTGGCAAGTGAGGGAAACATCTGGAAGGCTGTGGGGTGTGGGTGCATGTCGAGACCCACGTGGTCGAGCCTGAGACCCACGGGGTCGAGCCCGGCTGGCCCTGGTCAGCGGGCCGCAGAGACACATCCTCCTTCCCACAGCAGGCGGGGCAGAGGGAGTGGAGGAAGCAGGTGTACTGAGGGGGCGGGGCCCGTCTGCAGTTCTGATGGGGACACCTGGGCAGCGGCCGGGAGGAGCAGAAGCACAAGAATGGACTGCAGGGTCAGGTAGAGCCAGGCAGCAGGAAATGCACCACATCCAGAGCTGCAGGGCCCCGAGGTTTGCGGGGTGATGGGGGTGGGGGGCTTGCTTGGTTTTCTTGGATGTGGAGGAGTGGAGACTGAGCATGCCCCCGGCCTGACTCAGCCCTAAAGAGCCTGGCTGGGGGCAGGCCAGGGGAGAGTGGGGTACCCATCCCTCGCCGTTGCCAGTTGACGCCACATGTTGGGGTTCCAGAGTTCCGATCCCCAACTTCCCCCTTATCAGGAGCGGCGTCAGCTGGAGGAAATAAATATTTATGTCCCAGCCACACACCACTGTGAGTTGTATAAATGAGCAATCAGTCATCCTGTCTCTTGTCAAAGCCGTGAGCTATAATGGCAGGCGAA